GCGACGGCTCGAGCTCGGCCGGTGATCTGCGGGGGCTCCGGATAGCGCTCGGCCCCCAGCTTTCCGCCCGCGGCAGTGCGCGCCCCGCACCCGCACTCCCCGCACCCGCGCTCGGCCCCGCGGAGGACGGCCATGCCGCCGCGGCGCAGCATCGTGGAGGTGAAGGTGCTGGACGTGCAGAAGCGGCGGGTGCCCAACAAGCATTATGTGAGTGCCGCGCGGCCCCCACGCCCCCTCGAGTCCGTGCCCCGCCGGGGGCGACCGAGAGCCCCCGGGTTCTGAAAACTTCCGAACCGTCTGCCCTCTCGCCACCCTCCCCTTCTCTCCCCCTCGGCCCTGCTGCTGCGTGCCTGGGTTTCTCCCAGCTCCTCCCCCTCCCCCTCCTCTCTTTTCCCCTGTTCTCCTCCCCTCCTTCCCGTCCTCCCGCCTCGCCCCCTGCTTGCCCCTCTGCAGCTCCTCTCCTCCTTTCCGTCTCCTCCTTGTCCCCCCCACCACTCCTCCGGCCCATCTGTGTTAAAGTCGGGCCCCAGCCAGTGTAGGGGACAGAGAGACAGAAAGAGGGGGAGGGGGGAAAAGAGATAGACAAGCTCCTGTTCTCAGGCCGTCCGCCCTGTTCCTCCTTGTCCAGAGGCACCCAGACCCGCAGTGCCTAGCCACAGGTAGCTCCTCTAGGGATCGCCAAGTTTGGCTCCGTCCTTTTGAAGAATCCAGCCCGAGCCATCTCTGAGAATGGATCCTTTGAGTGCCTGCACCGTGAAAAGGTTTAAAAAAAAAAAAAAAAAAAGTCCCTGCCCTCTTTCTCCAATAACTTCTGTTTAAAAATGCAGGAAAGTTTTCTCCTGGTACCTCCCTCTGTAAAATGAGAGTCTTGTTTAGAGCTGGTAAGGACTTGAGAAAATGGGCCAGTGTCCTCATTTTGCAGATGGGAAGGCTGAGGCTCAAAGAAGCTGCAGGTTCTAGAACATGGAGCTGCATTCAGGCCTTCCCTGCCTTTGAAAGGTGTGCCAGGGCAAGCGGTGACCCCCAGATGGGAAATGGATTCTGCAGCAGTCTAGGACCTAAATCTGGGCTCAAGGGGCCCTGGGATCACCTCAGAGGTTTTGGGTGGAGGGGAAATGGGTCTGTGGGATGTTGGGCCCAGGTGAGGTCTTGGGGAGGCCTTTTTACTGGAGGGAAGGGGGCTGTGGTGTCTCTGGTGGTGAGAAGGGGGCAGTGGCAGCGCCTAGCTGCAGAGAAGTTAACCAGGAAGGAAAAAAGAGCAAGAGGGAGGGAAAAAAATCCTAACAAAGAAGTGTAGAACAATGAATAGCAAAGGGCGTTGGCTGGCTAAATTCAGCTCCTTGGCCTCCCTGCAAGTCTTCTCTGGATCTATTTTCTTAAGAGGCTCGTTCTTATAAAGCAGATCTGTGTGCCCTCCATGAATAGTCTATAAAATCCTGAAAGGAGATAGCTGGAATCCACTCAGCACTCTCCACGAGAAAGGGTGTGCTGTGTGAGTCCGTATTGTTATTGGCTGGGAAGCCAGTTATTCAGCCCTTAGCCAGGCGGTGGGAAGCTATTTCCTGGACCTGTGGCATCTTTAAATAGAGTGAAGTTTCCCTTGATTCCAGAGTGGAGCTGAATTGTCTCTTTCTCACCCTTTTTTTTTTTTTTTTTCTTGGTAAATGCACCAAATGACCCAAAATCTTGGTTTCTTGTTTGAGCTTGTTGAGTGTGTAACTGAGTTGCCTTTTTGGTAGGAAGACAGCTTTTCACCAACATGGCAACAAGAGGAAGTCTAAAGTTCTCCATGCTGCCTCCCACCCAGTCTGTGAGCTGGCAGAACCAGAATAGATACAGCCACCACAAACTGGGCATCATCATCCACTCATTCTCTCCTGTCTGCTCCTAGCACATGCATATGAGGCAGAGATTCTTGAGCCCATTTGACAGATGAGGAGACTAAGGCTCAGAAAAGTGAGGTCCTATGCCTGAGGTCACAGTCACAGGCAGAGCAAGGATGTCAGTCCAAGTCTGTTGGACCCCAAAAAGTGGCATTCCACCAGAGCCCACCACTTCCTAGATCCCATACCTTCATAGTTTCCTTAAGCAGAGTCCCCTTAAGAACCAGGAAGTCTGCCATCATTTGTGATTGCCCTGTGGCTTTTCATCCTCTGCTTAATCAGATCCATCCCCGCCAGCTTTTTGAAGGTTCTGAGGCTTTAAGGGGAATCTTGCTTAGCTTTCCATCACTTTTTAGGGGCCCCTTGAAACGAGTTAAAATACGAATTTGGGTTCAAATCTTGGCGTCCACTTGGTAGCCGTGTAGCCTCTCTGAAACTCAGTTTTCTCATGTGTGCCTGGGGGGTGATGGTGCCCACTTCCTAGGGGGAGGGACCACGTGACACCCAGACTGGCGTGCCATAGCTGTGAGGGCCTGCCTCCCTGCTCCATGGTGTCCATGTCACTCTGAATGGGAAGGTGCCAAAGTCATGTGTGCAGGGATTTCACCAAAAACTTGTTTTTCTGCATGTGGGTTTAGTCACTCTTGTGACTCAAGGGGGCCCCCTCCCTGGTATCCAGGCTTTTGGGTTCATCATCATCAGATGAAGAGGGGCGATGGGTTGAACTGAAGCCTGAGGCATCCACAGGAACAGGGCAGATGTAGTGCCGTGATGGCAGGGGACCTGAACCCACCAGAAACTGCCGGTGCCTCCCCCTCCTGTTCTCAAGACATGTCCGCCCCACCACTCTGGAGGAAATGCACCCGGAGGCTGCTATCAGTGTGGGCCTAGCCTTTCATCCCATTTGGCATCCTTCTCTTTGAACCTGACCCAGCTACCCTGGAGAGAAAGCATGGCAAGGAGAGTTGGACAGTCCTGAACCCTGCCGTTTCCCGCTGTGTGACCTTAGGCTGGTCGATTTATCTCTCTGAACGACATCTTCTATAATCTGCAAGTTGTAAATACTGTTCCTTTCCTCTGGGGCAGAATTTCTCAACATCAACACTGTTGACATTTTGAGCCATATCCTTCTTTGTTGTGGGGTGGCTGTCCTGAGCATTGTAGGGTGTTTAGCAACATCTCTGGCTTCTATCCACTAGGTGCCAGTAGCGTCCCCCTCCCAAATTGTGACAACCAACAGTATCTCCAGACATGGCCCCCAGGAGTTTAAAACCACACCCTGCTGACCGCCCCCGCCCCCCCAGCCCCAACCACTGTGTTAGAATATACAAATCAGTTATGGAGAATTCTGTTAGGCACGCCCCCTAATTTTCCACCACCCCCCTCCCCATTTGCAGCTACCTTGGCCACCACCTGTTCATCACTCAGTTGCCTTGGAAGGAACAGGTCACAGGTACTATAGATGTGGAGAACCGCACCTGAGCTCAGGGCTGGGTCACCTGTTCCACCTGAAATGACATCTTCTCTATTATCAGGGCTGCACCCTCTCCATGCCCAGCCCGCCTTCGCTTCTGGGCACAATCAGTGGGCCCAGGGGCAGAGCCACAGGCCAGGTCTGGAGAATGCAGGGACAGAAACTCCCAGGACCTCTGAGATCCCGACAGTTGGGTAGGGATTATTGTGGATGATAATATCAACGATACTATGATTTGGAGAGGCTCCCCTGGAGCGGCCTGCCTCTGTGAGAGGCAGGGAGAGTGAAGGCTTAGGGAACTGCTCCCCTTCTGTGCTAGCACTTTCCTTCCCCAGAGCCCAGGGCTTTCGCAATGCATGGAAAGGGGGCTTTCAAGGGTGATGCCCTGGGGAGACCCTCCCTGGCTGGGTTATCTGGCTTGAGGGGAGGAGGAAGTGCTCCCTAGAGGCTTTGCAGGATCACCCCATTTCCTGCACTGGAGTGGGATATACAGAAGCCTTGGCTTCAGAAGAGAGTCCCTGTCTGCAGGAGCCAAGAGATGCTGGCTTGCTCCTCTGTCTTGAGACCTTTAGATGTTAAGAGGAGCAAGATGGTAGTAGTAGTTATAGCAGCAGTCATCATAATAGCTGAAATTTGATCAGTTGTTGTGGGCCAGGCACTGGATGAACCTCTCTGCATAATTAGAAAATCGCAACAGTCCTTTAAAATAGGTACTTTTTAATACACTATTTCAAACATACAAATACATGAAATGAATTAACTCTCTACCATGCAGCTCTGTCAGATCTTCATATTTGGCTATGTTTCAGATCATTATTTTTGGTTTTTACGAAATAAAGCACAGCAGATGCAAAACCCCTATGTACCCTCCCTAACTCTTCCCCTCCCCCAAATGAACCGGTGCCCTGCATTTGGTGTTTATCATCCCCATGCACTTTTTATTAAAAATAGAGTATTAGAGGGGCACCTGGGTGGCTCAGTCGGTTAAGTGTCTGCCTTCGGCTCAGGTTACGATCCCAGGGTCCTGGGATCAAGTCCTGCATTGGGCTCCCTGTTCTTCAGAGAGTCTGCTTCTCCCTCTCCCTCTGCTCCTCCCCCCTGCTCATTCTCTCTCTCTCTCAAATAAATAAATAAAATCTTTAAAAAAAAAAATAGACTATTAGATCTATTAGATAGGATTTTTTTCTCTCACAGCTTTATTGAGGTATAATTTGCAAGCCATAAAATTCACTCATTTTAAGCGTATGGATTGCTGATTATTTTAGTGAATTTATATATAGAGCTGTGCGACCACCATGGCAATCCAGTTTTATAACATTTGCGTCACCCCCAAGAAGATCCCTGGGACTTGTCTGCAGTCAATCCCCTTCCTGCCCCAGCCCTATGCACCTTTTAATGCTTTTACCTTTTGAACACTGCCCCAAATCTTGTGTTGAATGTTTTAAAACTATATAAAAATACTGCCCTTTTGAGATCTATGCTGATACATGTGGCCCCAGTTCATTTTAACTGCTACTTAATATTTGGTTTGAATAGACCACTGTTTTTTCTAGCTCGTGGTGGGGACTTCTAGGGTGTCCTAGGAGTCCAGGTCCACACGGCTACTACGTGCACATGTCCCTGAGGTGGGGTTGCTGGGACATCTATATCCCGCAGAGCAGTGTCTGTACATCCCTTTGCTGTGTGTCCTTGCTACCACCCCGAATGGTTGGACTTTTTAGTTTTAGCCAATCTGCTGGGCTCAGAATAGGCTCTCACGGTGGCCTTCGCATCTCCCAGCTCGCTGGCAGGTTAAGCGCCTTTTCCTACCTCCACCAGCCATTTACATTTCCTCCTGTGAATTGCCTGTT